ATCAGTCTCAGCCACTGAAGAGTGTGATTTTATTTAAAAGTATTGAGGTAATAAGTAGTTGATATAAAGGAATCACTGTGAACTACTGCATTGTGGTTTTGCTTCAAATTAACTTAAAGCTTCATTATATTTTGATCTGTGGAGGCTTATTAGAGGAAATATGAATCAGATGAATCATCTGTGTGAGATGTAGACACAGTTTCCTGTTGTTAACTGACAGGAGTGACACCAGATCAGTGCCTGCTGCTGTATCTCATTTGCTTCAAGGTTTGATGTGTGTCTGTTCAGTGATGCTCTTCTGAATATCTTGTCTGTAAAAAGTTGTTGACAGAGTTACTGTTACCTTCCTATCAGCTTGAAGCAGTCTCCTTTGACTTCTGGCATCAACAAGGCATTTTTATTCCAGAGAACTGACACTTACTGGATATTTACTTTTTTTGGGCCCATATGACTATGTAAACCCCAGAGATGACTGTGCGGGAAAATACTAGTAGATCAGCAGAAATAATTTGGAAATAATTTAAATTAAAGGTTTTTGCTGCACATCAGTTTGTGTCTTCTGTATATTCTGGGAAATTCCTCATCTTTAGAACAGCAATCTCCACAGAAAGACTTTGGGATAGGGTGACTCGGTAAATAAAGCACAGTAATTCAATATTGCAAGGAAAACTTGAATTAGACACTACAGCTTTCATGAATTCTGAAAAACATTAAATATTTCCAGTCATTCCATAAGGAGTGAAAAAATACTGATAATGAATGAACTTGTTTTTTTTTAATTACCTTCACCTTTAACAACATTACACCTCAGTTTGTTAGATGAGCCCAGTGTTGCTACCACTAATATTACCACCAGGTATAATTAATCAGTAGTAGTGTCAGTATATTATTTGATGATAAATGTGAAGACTCAAACCAGTGGCAGTGGTAAAAAGATACCTATTAAAAGCACTTGACATTATTTATCAGAAAATATAGAAAATTTAGGAGAATTTAACAAAGGAAACAATTCAGTATAGACACATAGTGAGGGAGAAAGGTGACTGAAGAAGAAACACTCAGTGAATCATAGGAATTCCCCAGCTGCCTTGATATATTGCACTATAAAAAAAGGGAGGATTCA